TTTAATTGGGGGGGAGGGGGGGGGGGAAGGGGTGGTTGTTCGCTGGCTACAAGTACTTTGAATTGAAATGTGATGAGGTCGAAGTAACTATTGGTCTAGCTACTGATATGTTGATATTTTGAACACGGAGAAAGTAAGCAACAAAGCAGGATTAATCAGTACAGCGCTAAACAAAAATAATTTCGAGTTAGCGGGAGGTTCGAGTTATTGAGGGTTCGAGTTACAGTAAATGTATGAAGGAAATCCAAGGGAAATCGATTTTGGTTCGAGTTAGCGCGAGGTTCGAGTTATCGGGAGTCAACTGTACGCACATCTCAGTGCTAAGGAATCTGATCAACCTCGTCCCAGGGCTTTCCTGCCCCTCCCATTTTCTAAAGAAAAAGCACTGGTGACTACGTTGTAATCTAATACCAACATCTGACTCGACAAAATTCATGAACCCAAATGTGTTGATTTGCTTGGCGAGTCACAAAGAACAATGCCCCTCAGTTATCCAGATTGAAGCGAGAAGTTTGAACGTGAATATAGATAACTAAGCTCTCAATTCCAAATCGTATGACGTCTGTCTCATTTTAACTATTGAAATAACATGAAAAATGTTTGCATGAGATTCGGGCGAACTTTTAAAAGGGGAAACCCTAGCTGAGCATTGCGAAAAGCACAGACCTTCACCGGAGCAACGTTAAGAATTAAACACTGCCTTACCTGGCTAAGAAGAAAACACAGAAAACGATTAACAAACTGGGCAAACGAGCATAGGAAAACATTTTCGAGTTTGCAGAAGGCCAACCAACAATGCCACTCCGCTTTCGTCAGCAACTCAAAGGCACTAACTTAAGACAATATAGTAGCTAGCTAATGTTTTTACTGCAAAAGGGAGGAGTTTCAGCGCATTTCAGTGGACAGATTTTTGGGTTTTGTTCAATCAGGGAAGCTTATGCTGGCAGAGGCCTACGAGGGTTAAAAAGGTCAGTATCATTATTAACTTGTGTAGGAATGTCTGACGTCCAAGGTATGTTTTTTTGGACCCTTTTGATTTCTTTGGTCTGAAAGTAAGTAGAACATATTTTATTCGTCCTACTCTACCATAGATATGGTAGAGTATACATGCACAGTCTAGAACCCATTAAAACTGGGGTCTGGAGTATATCTTTACAGGAGAAAATTGATGTTGGTCACCACTGGGACTTAGTTGAGTCCGAAGAGGTACAGAGACGACAGCATCAACACAACATACTTTAATACGATAGATTCATACAGCTCACTCGAATGACAGCTCTACCGCCGGTCAGCGGTCAGTTAGTACTTCATGTTACTACAGTAGGTGCTACTTAACACAAGGAATTATGGCATTACCACAGCACACTGCTGTCAAACTTGTTTATTTGACCTTTGAGTTTTTTTTCACGATCATTATGTAGGCTTAGTGTAACAATGAACAGATCTACAGAAACGTATTTTAAGGCTTTCAATAAATTCACAGTTCGTGTTTTGTCCATAAAACCAAAACTTCAAGAACCAAATCAAATATTTTCTTAACGAACAAAAACGTTACCGTGGGGATTAGCTGCACCTGTTAACTGATTTGCTTGGTTTTTACCACATGGATCATGCGTAGGCCAACTGCCGCTAGTACTACCGTCAAAATAGTAGTACAGACTGGTACTGGACAGGTAAGGTCCGTTACTGCCTAACGCAAAGGATGTTGGTACAACCCCAGCACACTGCTGTGAAACCTGTTTAACCAGTGTACAGCTGAGTGACCCGGCCTTCTGTCTCACTATGCTGCCAGTGCCCTCCATGCAAACGATCCAGTTGTTGATGTTACTTTTGATCAGAGTCTGGTTACCAATGGTGCGCCACAAAGCAAAGTCCATAGCTTCATAGTGGGTCTCGCTGAGTGGAACTGTTGTAGATACCCGAGTGTTAGCACTGCTGGCTGTCCAGGTGGGACGAGGGGTGATTGCGTTGGAGCCACTTTGAAAGTTTTTGTAATCCATGAAGGTGTAGCTCCAAACTAGTGTCCAGCCCCCTCCAGCTGTCTGCTGGTCGCAGAAGGCCTGGAAAGTGTTTCCATGGGAACCACCATCCGGATCAATCCAGTAGACTCCTGAGGCAGCCGAGGGTACTTTTAGTTTGAGATCCCAACAGTTTAACACAGGTAATGCTTTGGACTGCCCTGTGAAACCCGAATATTGTGATTAGATAACGAGTTGTAAAGACGAGGGGGTAGGGAAAAGATTTTTCTAACCAGAATAGTGAGAAGTGAGATTTTGAAAACTCTGTTAACTCCGAGAAACTCAACTAAATTTTCATCTTGACATCTAACTTCAACATTTGCGAAGTTAGACTTTTTAAGTTTGAAGCTTTTCTTTAGTACTTCTAATCGACTTTTGATTATATGGCCAATCTCGGGCACCGTAGCTTGGAGAATATTGTATTAACGCTTAATTCCCTAAAACAAATCGTTCATAAACCTGTGGGCATTCCTCTGTATTTTTCTCGTGGCATGTCTAAGAGAGTTGTAAGTGAACACTGTTTAGAGGAAGGGGGTTAAGGGTGGTAAGAAGAGCGAGATAAGTAACTCCGCTGTTTTGGATTTAAAATGTAACACTCTGTACTTTACCAATAGGGTTGGGTTCAACCAGTTTGAAGTTGTCTTCAGTCAATCTTTTGATTATTTCATTCTTGCAAAGCAAAGCTGACCGGTAAAGATAAAGATTCCCTTTTGAATCAATTTCCAGAACTTTGTGCCTTTCTTGGTCTAGTGCTCTAAAAGAACAAAACAGGGTTTTATCATCAGATACCTCGATTTGACGTGCTATATAGTCCCCAAAAGGATGCGCCAATTAAAACTGGAACAAGAGGGGGCTCTGGGCTCGACTCGGGGAAAGGGAATAAGATAGGAAAAGGGAGAGATAGCTATCTTGCTTCCCGTTTTCTTCTTTCACTCCCCAGCCAATTGAAAAGATCAGTGGAGAGAGAGATTTAATTGGGGAGGAGGGGGGGGGGAAGGGGTGGTTGTTCGCTGGCTACAAGTACTTTGAATTGAAATGTGATGAGGTCGAAGTAACTATTGGTCTAGCTACTGATATGTTGATATTTTGAACACGGAGAAAGTAAGCAACAAAGCAGGATTAATCAGTACAGCGCTAAACAAAAATAATTTCGAGTTAGCGGGAGGTTCGAGTTATTGAGGGTTCGAGTTACAGTAAATGTATGAAGGAAATCCAAGGGAAATCGATTTTGGTTCGAGTTAGCGCGAGGTTCGAGTTATCGGGAGTCAACTGTACGCACATCTCAGTGCTAAGGAATCTGATCAACCTCGTCCCAGGGCTTTCCTGCCCCTCCCATTTTCTAAAGAAAAAGCACTGGTGACTACGTTGTAATCTAATACCAACATCTGACTCGACAAAATTCATGAACCCAAATGTGTTGATTTGCTTGGCGAGTCACAAAGAACAATGCCCCTCAGTTATCCAGATTGAAGCGAGAAGTTTGAACGTGAATATAGATAACTAAGCTCTCAATTCCAAATCGTATGACGTCTGTCTCATTTTAACTATTGAAATAACATGAAAAATGTTTGCATGAGATTCGGGCGAACTTTTAAAAGGGGAAACCCTAGCTGAGCATTGCGAAAAGCACAGACCTTCACCGGAGCAACGTTAAGAATTAAACACTGCCTTACCTGGCTAAGAAGAAAACACAGAAAACGATTAACAAACTGGGCAAACGAGCATAGGAAAACATTTTCGAGTTTGCAGAAGGCCAACCAACAATGCCACTCCGCTTTCGTCAGCAACTCAAAGGCACTAACTTAAGACAATATAGTAGCTAGCTAATGTTTTTACTGCAAAAGGGAGGAGTTTCAGCGCATTTCAGTGGACAGATTTTTGGGTTTTGTTCAATCAGGGAAGCTTATGCTGGCAGAGGCCTACGAGGGTTAAAAAGGTCAGTATCATTATTAACTTGTGTAGGAATGTCTGACGTCCAAGGTATGTTTTTTTGGACCCTTTTGATTTCTTTGGTCTGAAAGTAAGTAGAACATATTTTATTCGTCCTACTCTACCATAGATATGGTAGAGTATACATGCACAGTCTAGAACCCATTAAAACTGGGGTCTGGAGTATATCTTTACAGGAGAAAATTGATGTTGGTCACCACTGGGACTTTAAGGGTTAAATCTATCTTCGGTTTTCAAAGAAGATAAACGTCAGGAAGTTGGGTCAAACGGAAGCGGCGTCTCACTAGAATCAGCTGGATATCACTTATCAGAGTACAGTGTACGTGTTACAAAATAAACTGAACGGCTTGTTTGAAATAGGAGTATCTAATTCTTTTACGTCAGGTTCGATAGGGCAGGGAATGGGAAATCGAACATTTTGGTCTGAAATGGTGAAAGGCTTGCAAGGAGCAAGCGCACGCCTCCACCTGATTCCTTTCGAGAGTGTTCCACCCAAGCCTTCAGGGAGTACTGTCCGTAGAGGATTGTTGCTTCTTACTTCCTGTTCTTCTCTGTCCTTTACTAGCATCCTGTAACTTTGTAGGTAGGTATGCAGGCAATTCCCTGTTATGCAATCGAATTGGAAAATCCGTTCAAAAGTAAACAGCTGTTTTTTAATACTGTGTCATGATACTGTGTCATGATACAGTATTCTTCTATATTTCGCTAATGTAAACATGCGACAGGACTCTCCTACTCAAATCTCAGCCAACTATATGGCAGCTATATATCCTTTTTTGCCTCAGTCGCGTCGTTATCTTGATTTTCTAAAATTACTAATTTACATCATCAACAAACTGTTCAATATACCATTTTTTCCAGTTTTAACTTATTGCTCCCGTAGTCATGGGGAATCTATAAATAAATGTGATGGTAGCGGGGAAAAAGACTCCATTGAGAAAACACATATACATTCTTGTAAGATGTGTTTAGGTTAAACAAACGTTCACCAAATGTTAAATCGAGAAATGAACTTGGTAGATTATCTCTCAAGTTACAAATAACAATGAATATTTTCAAAGTTTGGATTCACCTTGAAAATCAACCCCCTTACAACATCGCTAAACTTTTCTTCAACATATCGGATAAAATGGCCCAAGAAAACAAATCTACGACTATAAACCAATAAGTTCAGTGACCAGATCGATAAAAAATAACTGGACTACTGAGTAAAAAAGACATATATTACACTTCGATTAAATTTTGCAAAAAGCTTATAAATCTGGCCGGCATAATAGTCTTCCCATGCAGTTCACTCCAGCTTCAATTTCTAATCAAGTGGAACAAGCAAGAGAAAATAGTTGGCTTTTTAACGAACAAAAATATTGCCATGTGGATTGGCAACGCTTTTTAACTGATTTTGTTGGTTTTTACCACATGGATCGTGTGTGGGCCAGTCGCCGCTTGTATTACCGTCAAAGTAATAGTAGAGACTGCTGCTGGAAAGATAAGGCCCCTCACTGTGTAACGCAAGGGATGTTGGTACTACCCCAGCACACTGCTGTGAAACCTGTTTAACCAGTGTACAGCTGAGTGACCCGGCCTTCTGTCTCACTATGCTGCCACTGCCCTCCTTGCAAATGATCCAGTTGTTGATGTTACTTTTAATCAGAGTCTGGTTACCAATGGTGCGCCACAAAGCAAAGTCCATTGCTTCATAGTGGGTCTCGCTTAGTGGAACTGTTGTAGATACCCGAGTATTAGCACCGCTGGCTGTCCAGGTGGGACGAGGGGTGATTGCGTTTGAGCCACTCTTAAAATTTTTGTAATCCGTGAAGGTATAACTCCAAACTAGTGTCCAGCCCCCTCCAGCTGTCTGTTGGTCGCAGAAGGCCTGGAAAGCGTTTCCATGGGAGCCACCATCCGGGTCAATCCAGTAGACTCCTGAGGCAGCAGAGGGTACTTTTAGTTTGAGATCCCGACAGTTCAACACAGGTAATGCTTTGGACTGCCCTATGTAAACGGAATGCATTGTAATCAGATGAGTTGTTGAGACGATGGGGGAGGCGGATTTTTCTAACCAGAGGAAAAACAAGGTGCAAATGAATAGGCTTCTTTTGGTGCCAAGCATCTTTGATTATACATCACCGCTTAACTATTACAGTGTATGCGCGATTTAGTGCTTGTATGGAAGCCGGGAATCACCCACTCTCTGATAGGCCACCGTAGCCTAGCGTCGATTACCTAAAACAAGTCGTTCATAAACCAAGGGGCATTTATTTTTTTCCTTGTGGCCTGTATATGAGAGTTGTAAGTGTACTTAGTGGAGAGTTGGGGAGTGGGTAGCCTGCGAACAGCAGACGCATTTCCGGACGACCGGAAATGCGTCTGTTGTTCGCAGGCTAGGGAGTGGGGCGAGAGAAGTAACTCCGCTGTTTTGATTATAAGATGTAAAACTCTGTACTTTACCAATAGTGCTTGGTTCAACCAGTTTGAAGTTGTCTTCAGTTAACCTTCTGATTATTTCATTCTTGCAAAGCAAAGCGGACCGGTAAAGATAAAGATTCCCTTTTGAATCAACTTCCAGAACTTTGTACCTTTCTTGATCCAGTGCTCTAAAAGGACAAAACAGGGTTTTATCATCAGATACCTCGATTTGACGTGCTATATAGTCTCCAAGAGGATGCGCCAATTAAGACTGGAACAAGAGAGGGCTCTGGGCTCGACTCGGGGAAAGGGAATAAGATAGGAAAAGGGAGAGATAGCTATCTTGCTTCCCGTTTTCTTCTTTCACTCCCCAGCCAATTGAAAAGATCAGTGGAGAGAGAGATTTAATTGGGGAGGGGGGTGGGGGGAAGGGGTGGTTGTTCGCTGGCTACAAGTACTTTGAATTGAAATGTGATAAGGTCGAAGTAACTATTGGTCTAGCTACGGATAAAAGACTTTTACGTTATCAAGAGCACTTCCAGTCAATAACCTTCCGTACGGTTCTATTGTGTTGCCTTTACTAGGGATCTTTAGGCTTCTTTGGGCTGCATTTATGCAGTCGGGCTTTTTTTTCAAAAGTGACAGCTTACAGGCTTCTCTGCCAACCTACTTCCTATTTCCAAAAATAACGAGAATTTCACGTACGCTAGCCACGCTCTAAGGGCCACCTCTTTGTCCTTTTATCCTATCGTGACTTGCAATAATAAGTACAATCGACTCCCGGTAACTCGATCGAACCTTCAAGGGAAATCGAAAACAGTTCGAGAATTGTCGGGAGTTCGAAGCAAATAACAAGAAGAAAAGAAATGGGATCCAGATAGGGGAGGAATACAAGTTTCATGCTCGATCCCTTAAAGCGCATCAAGAGATATGTTGAAATTTTGAACACGGAGAAATAAAGCAAGAAAGCTTGATTAATCAGTACAGCGCTAAAAACAAATAATTTCGAGTTAGGGGGAGGTTCGAGTCATCGAGGGTTAGAGTTACCGAGGGTGAAATTACAATAAATGTAAGAAGGAAATCAGCGAGGGTTAGAATTACCGGGAGTCAACTGTACGCTTGTCACAGTGCTAAAGAATCTGTTCAACCTCGTCCCAGGGCTGCTACCGCCCCTCCCATTTTCTAAAGAAAAAGCACTGGTGACTAAGTTGTAATCTGATACCAACATCTGACCCGACATGATTCATGAACCCAAATGCGTTGATTTGCTTGGCGAGTAAGACAGAACAATACCCCTCAGTTATCTAGATTGGAGAGAGAAGTTTGAATGTGAATATCGATAACAAAACTCTCAATTCCAAATCGTATGCCGTCTGTCGTATTTTGTCTCGGTAGTGAAATAACACCAAATATGTTTGCATGGAATCCGGGGTAACTTTTAAAGGGGGAAACCCTAGCTGGGCATTGCGTAAAGCATAGACCTCTGTGGCATAGACCTTCATCGGAGCAATGTGAAAAATTAAACACTTTCTTACCTGGCTAAGAAGAAAACACCGAAAACGATTAACAAAGTTGGCAAACGAGCAAAGGAAAACATTTTTCTTTTTGCGCAAGACCAACCAACAAATATCGCTCCGCTCTCTTCTGCAACTCAAAGGCACGTCTTAAGACAATTAAGTAGCTACCTAGGTAATAATAATGTTTTCCCTGCAAAAGGGAGGAGTTTCAGCGCATTTCAATGGACAGATGTTTGGTTCTTGTCCAATCAAGGAATCTAATTCTGGCGTGTGGCTTACAAAGGTTAAAAAGTCAGTATCATTATTTAATTGTGGGAATGTCCGACGTCCAAGATATGTTTTTTCGACCTTTTCGATTTCTATGGTCTGACAGATAACGTTCTATTCGTCGTACTCTATCATAGATAGGGTAGAGTATACACGGGTACAGTCTAGAACCCATTAAAACTGGGGTCTGAAGTTCAGTATGGCTTGGCAAGATTTTAAATCTCTCTCCGGTTTTCAAAGAAGATAAACGTCAGGAAGTTGGGTCAAACGGAAGCGGCGTCACACTAGGATCAGCTGGCTATCACTTATCAGAGTACATTATATGTGTTACAAAATAAAAACGGCTGGTCAGGCTCGATAGGGAAGGGAATGGGAAATAGCGTGTTTTGGTCTGAAATGGTGAAAGGCTTGCAAGGAGCATGTGCACACCTCCACCTGATTCCTTTCGAGAGTATTCCACCCAAACCTTTAGGGAGTACTGTCAGCTTCCTGTATTTCTCTGTCCTTTTCTGGCATCCTTTCATTCAATTGGCGAATCAAGCTTGACCTGTAATTTTGTAAAGGTGGGTTTGCTCTGCAGCAATTGCCTGTTACGCAATCGAAGTGGAAAATCCATTCAAAGTAAATTGAAGGAGACAGCTGATTTTTAATATTTTATTATTAACATATTCCTCTACTGAATAAGCCAATGCAGAGATGAATCAATCGACATGCAAACGAGTGGGACCTGAGTGAGATGTTTGAAAAAATCTAACAGGAAAATTACGACCATAAACTAATGAGTTCAGTGACCAGATCGATAAAAAATTAGCTGGACTTAGTAAAAAAAGATATGCAATAAAATACAAAAGAAGTAAAAACGATATTACACTTCGATTAAATTTTGAAAAAAGCTGATAAATTTGGCCGGTATTAAGTCTTCCCATGTAGTTTCAATTCAATCTCCTTCTAAAAAAAAATGAAACGACAAGAGAAATTGTTGGCTTATTAACGAACAAAAACATTGCCATGTGGATTAGCCACATCTTTTAAATAATTTGCCGTGTTTGTACCACATGGATCATGTGTGGGCCAACTGCTACTCGTACTACCGTCAAAATAATAATAGAGACTGTTGCTGGACAGGACAGGGCCGTGGCTGTTTAACGCAAAAGATGTTGGCACTGCCCAAGCACATTGCTGTGAAGAAACCTGTTTAACCAGTTTACAACTGAGTGACCCGGCCTTCTGTCTCACTATACTACCACTGCCCTCCTTGCAAGCGATCCAGTTGTTGATGTTACTTTTGATTAAGGCCTGGTTACCAATAGTGCTCCACAAAGCAAAGTCCATTGCTTCTTAGTGGGTCTCGCTGAGTGGAACTGTTGTAGATTCTCGAGTGTTAGCAGTGCTGGCTGTCCAGGTGGGACGAGGGGTGACTGCGTTTTTGCTACTTGTAAAGCTCGAGTAATCTGTGAAGGTGTAACTCCAAACTAGTGTCCATCCTCCCCCATCCGTCTGTTGGTCACAGTAGGCCTGGAAAGCGTTTCCATGGGAACCGCCATCCGGGTCTATCCAGTAGACTACTGAGACAACCGATGGTCTTTTGTTTTTCAATCTTTACAGTTCAAGGCAGGATTTTCTATGGATAATCCTACTAACGATTTCCCCACCTGAAGTCCGCTATAAAGAAATATTGAGCCCTGTTAATAAATTCCAGAATCTAACGAGGAAAATTTCGAATTGAGACCTCAGGAGCCACAAATCACCCTTTAAACACATGAGTGTCAGCACTAGTAAAATAGATACGACTAGTCCCCATTTTTTCTCAGGGATAGAAGAGTGAGCGAAACGCGAGTGCGAGTGAATCCCCGAGGAAAAATGGGGACTGCTCGTAGCCTACTAGTAAAAGGAATTGGGGTGACCACAAGAGTTTTACGAAAAGACCTCTAGACTTCGAAGAAATTCGAACCCAGTTTAGGTCTGCATTTGCTCGAACTTGCTCAGACACAGATACCGAAAATGACTGACTTTTCAACCAACACAAATGTAAACATTTGGACTCCTGACTTTGCTGTATTTATATCATTAAAAAAAGGGTTTTGGGTGAGGTCTCAAGAGGCGAGCGTGAGCCTCACACCTCACACGCAAAGCGTAGTTCAAATTTTGAAAGAAAATACATTGGCAAACTAGCTTAGGAAGTAAGGATTAACAACCTACTTATATTCATAAAGTTTTACCATAAGGGATACCAGTTCACAGTTTCTAACAAGTAAAAGATGTAATAAGCACCTCCGTCATAGCGAAGAGTATACTCCCCGGTAACTAAGCTCTCAGTTCTTACAGCGTGCATCTCATTAAAATCGTTAAAAATAACATAACATCACACAACTTCAAGATTGGAACCGAACTCGTTGAAGTCGATTATCCCTGAGCATTGAGAAAAACATTTAGCTTCCCAGACTCAAAATGAGAAAATCAGTTAAAAAAATCAAATTAAAACCAGTTCTAAGTCGCACTCACCTGGCTATGAAGAAAACACAGAAAAAAATAAACAAACTGGGCAAACGAGCTTGGAACATTTTGAGGTCGTAAAAAGCTAACTAAACCACCGTGCTCTCCAATCTCGTCAGCAAGTCAATGCAATGGCAGAACTGACTGCAAGACAATCGCTAGGCAGGTAATCTCTCAGGATAAAAGTGAGGAGTTTCAGTGCGTTTCAACCGTCTGATTTAATGTTTTTGACCGATCAGTGGTCCCGAGGGCGTAATCTTGGAATTTTGGGGTGGACACGTGCCACTGGAACTAGTCCTGATCAACTGCAATTTTGTAACCATATTCTATTCCTAATCCTATATGCCAGACTAAATATGAAGCAACTGAACTCCAATCTCCATATCACTGATCCATTTCCCATAAATACTTTATTTAAACTCGACTGATTTCCTAACCCCATCCTCCAGACGAAACAACTTAAAAACCTTCCTCTTCCCAGTGACACTACTCATATACCCCACATATGACAGCTCCGCGGATTGGTGCAGGCCCCGTTTTGTACAGCAAGCAAGCGGTTCGAGTTGGGACAGGCCAAGGATGAAACTATAGCGATACTAATATGATGCCATTATCAATAAGAACTACTCCCGGGTAATCTTGAGCGAAATATAAAATGTCCGGTGTTCAAAGTTCCGTATGCTTTTAGTTCTTCTCAATTAGTTTGTTCTTTGTAGGTTCCTGCCATATTAACAATTGGCCAAAGTTACATTTCGTTTACTCAACAATGTAATGGCTTTGTGACGGTTGTCATTAAAATGATACATAGACTCTGAGACAGTCTTTTTACTCGCCTCAGTGGCTAATGAAATAATTAAAACAATACATACACAGGCTGGGATAAACGACATAAACCTTTGCTCACATTAAAGTTTTATATTGAAGACTAAATTAAATTTGATGCCCACTTAAGAACAGAGAAGCCATAATATTATCGCCTGTTCATCACCTCCACACTTTTTGGTTTGGTTTTGTTGGGCCTTCTTGCATGGCAAATGGTAGCAGTGCCAGCTCAAGCCGAAATAGGTAAGTTGAATACTTGTTAACCATGCAGGCAATTTTTCTATATCGTGTCAACTGATCAGCTGACTGGTGAGGTTTCTAAGGTTGTTATGTCTCTCTTCTACTCGTCTGAGGTAGCTTTCTTGACAAGTTGGTTTTTTTAAGGGGTGCAAAACGCTCAAAAGAAATTTATGCTAAGTACGTACACATCCCACTAACAGATGAGTACCTACTAAGCTTCGATTTTAAAAAGCTTCAAAAGTAATACTTTACAAAACGAACTAGCAAGAAGCAAGTATTTAAACATCTTAAAGATAGAATTATTCATCAGATTGGAATACTAATTGCTTGTCATAATTGGGAAATTATGCTATTAAATTATCGGTGGTCAGTCAAGAAAAATATGAACATTCCGAATACGACAGCTTAAACTAATTGCTTGTCATAATTGGGAAATTATGCTATTAAATTATCGGTGGTCAGTCAAGAAAAATATGAACATTCCCAATACGACAGCTGAACTATTTATTATGATCTTCGATAACTAATTGTGTGGGGTTCATGCAACAAAACTTTGTTTGACGAACTTGAACGCATCCAGTTAGAGCATCCAGTAAGAGCTGCTAAAAAAATTTACCGTCCAGACTGGTGCACACCAACTGAAGACGTTTTGAACACTTTCAAACGGAGGCCTATGCGGCATATTTATTTTCACCGCCTACTTGTAATAGCTCACTCATGTTACTCCCATGCCTCCCTCACTAAACGACTTATTAGTTAAGAATAAAACGAAATGCAGGTTAAGGAACAATTATATTTCAACATGCCGACCCCCGAGAAAATTTACCTGTTTAGAAAATTTTAAACACTCTGTTATTTTTTTTAGTACTATTGGTAGGTTTTAATCCCTTTTTATCTTTTATAGTTTTAATTACTTTTTAATTTTTCACACGACCACATCAGCGTTGCTATAGTTTTATCGTGAAAAATAAATGTTTTACTCACTTATTAACTTACTTACTTACTTACATACGTGCTTACTTCCTTCCTTACTTCCTTCCTTACTTACTTACTTTAATACTTACTTGCTAATTGTATTATGAATATTGTCCTTTTAATAGTTTCTAATCATTGGGCGTAGACACATTTGAGTCACATTACCGCATAATGCCGTAATATCGCACCCAGATCTCAGCTAACAACAACAACAGCAATAACCTTTAATTGTTTGCATGACTATAATTCAACTTAGTATTGCAAAAGGTTAGTAAAATAAGAACGAAAAGAGAAAGAAATAATAACAATAACAATAATAATAATAATAATAATAATAATAATAATGATAATAATAATATTAATATTAATATCAGATAATCAAGTGACATTATTCTTACCTGACAGTACACTGTCACGCAAATTCTTCAATAATGAGATATAATCCGTCAACCGTAAATTAAGATAAGTATCTTCAGAGTTCATCAGTTTCATCACTAAGTTTGGGTGAGATAACTTCTGAAAATTATGGAGATAACTCTATATTTGAGCGAAAAATTCATTTCTAAGTGTGAAATATTTTTGGCATTCGCAGAGAAAGTGAATTTCATCTTCAATTTCATTGGAATCACAAACTGGACATAATCTTTTGTCGCAAAGAGTTTGGTTATATCTTCCAGTCTCGCCAACGGTCTGCAAACGAGTGAGATCTGGGCAGAGGTTCATAAGTGTGCCCTATTCTCAACAAAATATCTAGGTTAACGAGAAAACAAAACAAAACAACAACAACAATGCAAACAACAAAATGCAAAAGCAAAAAACAAAAATCAAAAACGAAAAGCAAAGCCCTAATTAAATCAAATTTATAGAATCCACGCAAACATGCATTACCGTGGATCTAAAATGTATCGTACTTTTGAAGTAACGAAGAAAGGCAATATCAGGCCTGAGCTGAGTTGTTTTAACGTATGAAAAGATTTCCATGTGGATTGGCAACATCCTTTAATTGGTTAGCACTACTTGTTCCACATGGATCGTGGTGGGGCCATTCTCCCCCAGTATCACCCTCAAAGAAATAATAGATTCCGCTCGGGGTCCCAAGATAAGGTCCATCATCATCATGCACGTTGAGTGATTTTGGTAACACACCAGAACATTTCGTTGAAACCTGTTTGACCAGTTTACAGCTAAGTGACCCACCCGCCTGTCTCACTATACTACCAGTACCCTCCTGGCAAGCAATCCAGTTATTGATGTTACTTTTGATCAGGAACTGGTTACCAATGGTGCGCCACAAAGCAAAGTCCATAGCTTCATAGTGGGTCTCGCTGAGTGGAACTGTTGTAGATACTCGAGTCTTAGCACCACTGTATGTCCAGGTAGGACGAGGAGTGACTGCGTTTTTGCTACTTGTAAAGCTTGAGTAATCTGTGAAAGTGTAACTCCAAACTAGCGTCCAGCCTCCCCCGTCCGTTGTTTGGTCGCAGTAGGCCTCAAAAGCGTTACCATGGTAACCATCATCCGGGTCAATCCAGTAGAGTCCTGAGACAACTGATGGTCTTTTGTTTTTCAGATCTTTACAGTTCAAGGCAGGATTTTCTATGGATAATCCTAATGACGATCTCCCCAGGTGATGTCCGCTGTAACAAAACATTAAACTTGTTGTTATCCCGACTTGTTTTTATGTCGACGTCAGTCAGAAGAATGTTTTTGGGTGTGGTCGCGCGACGCGCGAGTCAGACGCGAAAGCACAGTTCAAGTTTTGAATGAAAATATTTTGGAAATCACAAATCAGAAAATAACTATGATGAACTTTTCTTAAATAAACACAAATGAAATACTAGGTGAGCATGATATCTTCATACGCGTGAAGAAACATGTTATCTTTACACGCGAATTTCTCCTATTTCGTATCTCCAAGTAGCATCAGGAGCCCATCACGGGTAATATCAGCTCTATATATTCATAGCCTTTTTAAAAACTATGCGGTAAGACCCCCCCC